AGCCTTAACAAGCTTCAGCTAGTCCAGAACGCTGCAGCCAGAGTTCTTACTGGAACCAGACAGTTTGACCATATCAGCCCAGTTTTATCAACCTTACACTGGTTACGAGTTAAATTTCGGATTGATTATAAAATTCTCTTACTGACTTACAAAGCACTAAACGGACTCGCCCCTCTGTACCTGAGGGAACTTCTCTCTCACTATGAACCATCACACCTACTTAGATCACAAGGTGCTGGTTTACTATTAGTACCTAGAATTAATAAGGTTACGTCAGGGGGGAGAGCCTTCTCATACAAAGCCCCCCGGCTTTGGAATAGTCTTCCTGTTAATGTTCGGGACTCAGACACAGCCTCAGTCTTTAAGTCTAAGCTAAAAACTTACTTGTATAGTCAAGCCTTTGGTAATTAGTTTTCCCTATCAGTTCTATACCTGCCAGAGTCTCGGCTGCTCTGCTAACACTGTAATCTGTGATCAGTCACCCATTACAGAACTGACTCTCTGTGTGTTTTTCCTTTCTTTCTTTTCTTTGCCGAATTGAACAGCTGCCCATCCTGTGCGTTTTGATGCTGCTGCCTCTTCTGCCTTGATCGGGTGCAACTGCTCGCCAGCCCTCTGGACCGGCTTGACCACCATCAAGCTTCATGCTGTACTATGCCGTGCAACCTCACCCTCACAACCTGACCCCACTGATGCTGCTGCTGTACTTTACTTTATACTAACAGTGTTTATTATCCGGTGTCGACTAGAGGAGGGTGGGTTCCCCTTCTGAGTCTTGGTTCCTCTCAAGGTTTCTTCCTGTTCCTAGGGAGTTTTTCCTTGCCCCTGTCGCCTCTGGCTTGCTCATGGGGGCTGGGACCTGGATTTCTTTCTGTAATGCTGACTTCCTTGTAAAGCTTCTTTGTGACAACACCTGTTGTAAAAAGCACTATATAAATAAACTTTGCTTGCTTGTTTGCTATTATGATACATTAAGTATTTTTATTTGTCCAGTTTTACATTACTCACCCTCAACCTCCTAATAAACTACAGACCTTTAAAACTGAACTCAGAAAACAAATAAATCAGGACACAAATTAATTAATTAATTCATAACTTTAACTTTTAATTATTGTAAATATGTACTAAATTATTTCAATAAAGAAAAAAATCATACACTCAAGTGTAATTTGTCTGTCTGCACAAAACGTATCATATGTTCATATATGTGTGTGTGTGTGTGTGTGTGTGTGTGTGTGTGTGTGTGTGTGTGTGTGTGTGTGTGTGTAAAGTATCAGTGTAAAGCGGGGCTGAGTTCTCCCCTTCAGGAGCTTCTGCAGACTGACTCTTCATCATCATCTCTAAATATAGAGATCATCTTAAGTGTAGATCATCTTATCAGCTTCACGAGGCAGCTTTCAGATTTAAGATCGATTCAGATCTGTCTAAATGCAGCTCCTCTATGATGCTTCATGTAAAGCAATTTGTAAAAGTAAAGACATGACCTAAACAAATGACGTAGTTCGAGTAAAAAAAAGGTACTTTCATATGATTGAGGTCTGAATACAGGAACTATCAGCTTTGTGACTTAAATAAAGACGAAGACACTCATTATAGCTTCTATTCAGTTTCTCCTCTGTGAGGCGCTTTGAGAGAGGAGATCACGGAGAGGAGAGAATTCGTTTCAACACGGACGTTTTTATTAACAGTGCCTCAAAGAAAAACAACAACAACCAGGAGAAACAGTCAATAACTGATATATAGTCTTTTTAAAGTAGGGTTGTCTGCAAAGGCTGGTCGCTAATGTTTCTGTGGCACCGCTGGGAGCGAAGACTCTGTGACGGCTCGGGAAAATGGATCCGGCGGGAACCCTGGACCCGCCCTCGGCTACATCTCTAGATAAAGGGATTAAAGCAGGATTTTTGGGGAGTGAGGTTGTAAAAACATTTGGTCAGACTGTAAAATGATGCTGTTCTTGTCCAATAGAATGTCTGTTTAGTGAACTCACACTTAAACCCACTAAATCCTCCATGAGCTGCTCACAGTTTCACACATCAGTCAGTGCAGTGACGCACAACCACATTTCAAGAGTTCAACTAAATATTTCAACTTTTTACTTTATTTTTAAGTCACAAAATATCAAGACAGCTAGTGAGTCCACAAACATGTAATGTTTACATTATAATAAAAGCTGATATTATTAAAGTGTTAAATTTAATATTGTTTATTTTATTTTTTTGGTCACACAATCAAGAAAAGAAGAATCTGTAAGTGATGAAATGATCTGACACTGTTGTTCATCTGAAAGACAGAAATTCTGTAAATATGTTACTCGTATTTTAAGTAATGAAACACATTTCAAACACAAAAGCATGAAACACCATCCATTGAAATATCATAATGAGTTTTTCAGCTGCAGATACTTTTCAGTTGTCCAGTTTATATTAATACTTGATCACACTCATATAAGATGCACTCTGTTAGATGCTGTGTTTACTTTCCACAGCACATCCACACAAAGAACAGCATCCTGTATATACTGTCAAAAACAGATACTGTACAGGTACATTTATGTTCATCAGGGTACAAACAGTATAAATGTACCTTCAAAGGTACAGTAAAGGTGTTAAGGTCTAGTTGTGCCTTTAGTTTTAAAATTTACTTTCCCAAATGAACTGTAGACATTTTTACATTTTCATGACCTAATGAAAAAAAATAAAATAAAAAGCTTGGAGTCAATACATGGTTTGTGGAGTCACTGTAACTTAAAAAATACAATTGTAATGAAATATGCTATAATTATGTTTTGAGGGTACCAGGTAGTGTCTGACACCTTAGCGCCTGCACTAGGAGGGTGAAGGCTAGCGCATGTGTCAGTAATCTGCCCACCAGAGGTCTCTCTCTCCCGAGGACCAGTCCTGCTCCCAAGTTTAAGCCACCTGCACCTCATTACCTCCCTAATTAGTCTCACCCTAAATATTCCCCAAACTCAGCTAACCTGTGTGAAGTATTGCCAGTACTTTGCAATCTGACTACTGAGTGTTTGTTTTGAGCTTCTGCCTGACTTTTTGTAATCTGCTTTTGCTTTTTGTCCTTTTTGGATTGTCTGCCTGGCCCTTCAGACTGATTCACTGGTATGACCTTTTTACCTTAGTAAATCTGCACATGGGTCCCTCACAAAGCTACATTACAAACTGTACTATCACTAGTCTACGTGTGTACAGAGACAGATTAAGGGGAGTCTGGACACTTCCTGTTTCTCCTACTATACCAAAAAACAGGACTTCAAACACTAGAAAACACTCAAACACTGTTATAAAGTGTTCAGAGGTGCTCAAAATAAAACAGTAATGAAACATTGTTTGCTGTTCTGTGTTGAGAAAATTAGGGGATGTTTCTATAAAAATGATCAAAGGATTTACAAACTACAATTTTGCACAACAGCTCCAAAGGAGCCCATTCATTTTGAACTCACTCAGGAGTGCCCTCTAGTGACAAACCTGGAAGATATTATTGAGTTGTCCTTTTCTGCAATTTGATTCTTTTTTTTTTCCAAGTTTCTGTTCTTTTTTTGTGTGTTTTGTGTAAAAGCTGATTAAAATATTAGCTTGACTTTAAATGCTAATTAACTGAGTTTTTTTTACAATGCCCAACAAATTACTTTCTATGGTAAAAATAATTTGTGTTATCACAGCAAAACATTTAGACCCCAGTTTAATCAGTTAAATCATAAGAAACTCAAGATGCAGAATTTATTATGCCTGTGTGGATATAATCTCAAATGATCAACACAATATTCTCAAAATAATTACAGACTTGCAAATAGTGTGAGAGAGAAAGACCAGACCACTTTTTTTACAGTATAACCCAGTATTAGGTGAGTAATTATGTTCTAGAATTGCTCTGTAAACAGTTGTAAGGCGCTGCCTGATTCTGAATGTCAACACTGATAATAGAAACTGTCTGTAACATCAGTGGGTTAATTTAGCAGCTCATACAAATTATAACAGATAATATTTTTTTGGTACAAAATGCTTTTCATGAAGTTAAAAAGTTGAATAAAAATGAACAAAAACATGCAGGTGTTTAATTCCTCTATGTTCTATTTGTGATGTGTAAAGCTATAATTAGCAGTATTTAGGCTCAATAAAATATACTGAATTCTGATCTAAAACAAAGTCATTTCTTGCATTTGAAGAGGTCTGAGTGTAATTTCCTGAGGAAGGACACCGGGTGTGTCCACTTCTCTTAATCACATGATTCATCTCTGTCTGAGGCTCCTCCTCCAAGTCATCTGAAAAATAATCAATATATTTAACTCTTTTGAATATATACATCGTTTCCTAAAACTTCCAAAAAGAAAAAAGAAAATAGAGCATCGTGTAACAAGTTGTTCACTAAATTAATCTTTTTCTTTTTTATCTTCTAATATTTTTTCTTCCAGTATTTATTAAAACTCCACCATAATGCTAAGATGATCCATGTGTAGAAGAAGCTACAGCACTGCCAGTGAATACTGAATGAGTTTACTTCAGTCTGATTCCCCTCCATGGTGGTCCTTAGTGCAGGACTCTTAACTCTGGTCATGGAGGGCCAGTGTCCAAACACACCTGATTTCCCTCGTCCATTATTTACTATGTTTAGTCTGGACACCAACCCTCCAGAACCTACAGTTCTACAGATCTACACAGTTCCCTTAAATATAAGAACCAATAATCAAAACACAACCAATTCTGTTTTAGTTTTGAGCATCTGCACTGTCCATCATTCTTAGAACAGTTAGACAGATGTAGAGAGGACTGATTACCTTCAGTCCTGTCTAGAGAGCTGTGTGGCACTAATCTACTGTTTCTTGTCTCTACTAAAAGAAATGTAGCTGCAATTCTTCTATGAATGAAAAAAGACTGCAGGTTTTATAAAAAAGGTTCTACAGCAAAATAAAGAGGACATTGTTTATTTATCATTGATAACAAAACTCATTTATTGCTAGACTTCCTGTGCACTTGAATCAATTACTCTACCTTTCACACTGTTCATCTGGAATGTAGCAGCAGACATAACATCTCCTTCACCAACATGGGAAAATACATTTTAACAATAAGCAACAAACCAGACATTTTACTGTATTGAAGTTGTTTAAATTATTTTTAACATTGAAATTATGTATTAATTAAGGTAAAACGTACCTGTCATAATGTTGGAGTTTGGTCCAGCGGTAACAGCATCATCATAGTTATCTGTCATGTCTTCTGTCAAAATGTAGAGATAAATGTCATTAAATCAGCATCAGTATCATCAGTGACTGTGTTCATGTTTGAGATTACAGTGTTGTTACATTACAAGTCAAACCTGTTTCAACAGCTGAGCTCTGATCGGAAGTGATGACATCATCATAACTATCTGCTACGTCCTCTACACCAAAACACAGAGATATTTAGATGATCAAAGCTACATTTTGAATGACTGTAGGTTTTCATCAGCTGTTTGAAACATTATCTTTGAATATATCGACATTGAGCCTAACGTTAGCTTTAGCACTAATAACTTTTAACTAGGGTTTTTTGTTTTGTTTTTTTTGTTTGTTTGTTTTTTTTTGTTTGTGTCATAGTCCGATTTAAAAAAGCCCTTCCTGAATTGGGGTCTTGGCATTGAGGAAGGGCTTGTGTGGTCATCTGGAGCAGTATGCTCCTGTTAGGCTCTCCCACTTCTGGAGTGAAGACCAAGATTAACACGATTCAAAATCCCTATGGTCAAAGGAGGCAGTTTATCATATACCCTGCCCAGGAGGGGGTTACCGAGACCCACCCCATGAACCAGGCCTAGGGGTAGCGTTCCTTGGCGAGTGCCTGGTGGCTGGGCAGCACAGGTAACCCAGCCGGGCTCAGCCCAAACAGGCAACATAGGGGGACCGTGTGGGCCCACCACCCGCAAGGTTTAGCATAGAGGACAGGTGCAGTGCCTTATAGGCTGTGGGAGATGGCAAGAAGGCCCTGGTGGCATGGACACCTGCGGAGGAAATTGGCTCTTGGCACGTAGGATGTAATCTCATTGGTGGAAAAGGAGCCGAAGCTTTTTGGCGGAGGCTGAGAGGTACCAACTAGATGTAGCTGTGCTCATCTCCATTCACAGTGTTATTCAGGAGGAATACAGGAAGGACTGTTGTAAGCTGAACCAGCTGCAGCTAAACATCAGTAAGACTAAGGAGATGGTGCTGGACTTTAGGAGGTCCAAACCTGCCTTGTCACCAGACACTATTGATGGTGTTGATGTGGAGGTGGTCGAGACCTACAAATATCTGGGTGTGCACTTGGACAACAAGCTGGACTGGAGCTGTAACACTCTCGCGGTATACAAGAGAGGCCAAAGCCGTCTCTACTTCCTGAGGAGGCTGAGGTGTTTTGGTGTGTGCACTAAGCTCCTATGGACATTCTACCAGTCTGTTGTAGCGAGTGCTCTATTCTGTGCTGTTGTGTGCTGGGGCAGCAGCATTAACAAAAGTGCTCTGAACAAAATAAACAAACTTATTAGGAAGGCTGGCTCTGTTGTAGGAGTCAAGCTGGAGTCTTTGGAGGTTGTGGCAGAACAGAGGACGCTCAGCCAGTTGTTAGTCATCTTGGACAACACCTCACACCCTCTGCATGCTACACTGGATAAACAGAGAAGCACATTCAGTGGCCGTCTAATACAGCTGCGCTGTGTTAAAGAGTGCCGTGTGAGATCATTCTTACCCACTGCTATAAGGCTCTACAACGAGTCTCCTTACTGCAGAGACGGTACTGTTGTCTGGGATTCTTTGCTTTTCCTACTGATACAGCAACTCTAGCTTAATCAAGCGGCGTAGGAAGATGAATGAATGAATGATTTTAAACTGTATGTGAACTGAAGATTTATTGTAAACATATATACAATTCAGTTTACTGCAGCTCAACAAACAGTCCACAGAATTAATACTGTCACATTTTCTATTATTGCTGCTTTTATAGCATTTATTATTTGGTTATATTGGTATGGTTTTTAATTTCTTTGTAATTTCTACTTTGTTCTAAACTAAAACCCCAGAACAGAAACCCACCTATTAGACACTCAGAGATCCGTCTAGTGGTGATGACATCATCATAGTTATCTGCTATGTCGTCTTTTTCTGCTTCACCTAAATCAAATAAAAGCAGACTGAATTTACAAAAGGTGCAGCCATATTTTCACATAATATAAAGTTAAAATCATGGGATTTAATTAGCAAAGGAACCCGCTTATCAGACCTCTGGTGGTGACATCATCATAATATTCTGATTTCACTCCAGGCAGAGACTTTGCTGCAAAAAGAGCATAACTTATCACTTTTAATTACATTTAAAAATAAAATACTCATTCAGAGGGGTTTTAATGTAATAATAACAATTCTAGAATTCAGTCTTCAGTGTGTGACTCCATTCAGATTATGCAAGAAATAATTTCTGACAAACATCTCATCTAGAGAGTCAGTATTAAGGAGAAGTTGAGAACAGTTAAAGAGAATCTAAAACAGTAAACATCAGCAAAATTTACAAAAAAATCAAATAAAGCAACCTGGATAGAGGATTACTGTACAAAAACATTACTGTACAAAACATGAATTTATAATGAATTTTTAAATTTCTAATGGCGACTGTAATATTTGTCAGTGAAACATAGTTTTAGGTCTTCTTACCTGAGAGAAGTTCCTCATCCACATCCTCATATCCTGAATGCTGTTCTTCAGAGAGGATACTTCCTGTTAGAGGAGAGCAGAACTCTGGCATTTAGCTCTGTTTAGCCAACATGTGTAGCACAGTGAAAGCATCTCCAAAATGTAGTAAAAATTCCATCTGATTTTGTGGGGATTTGTGTGCCTGTGTAATTCTACTGCCAATGCTTTCAATCCGAAATTCATCGCAGCCATTTAAAGCCCACACCAGCTCTTAGGCTCAATTAATGCATTTAGGGGCAATCAGACAATGTGGCCAAAAGTACAACTAACTGTATTTGTAATTTGAATGAGTGTCTGACCATTTTCTCCTCTTCTTCCTCTTTTTTCATAAAGCATCACCAGGGTTGCTCACCAATTAAGATAAAGGCTATATTCACAATGCAAGCTTTTACAGCCCCAGATTTTTGTTAGATCATTCTACATTTCTCTGTTAGTTTTACTGTAGCTGAAGAAACATGAATTTATAATGGATACTTTAACTTCTAAATTGTAGTCTGGTACACATGCTCTTACCTGAGAGGACCTCCTCATCCACCTCCTCATATCCTGAATGCTGTGCTTCAGAGAGGAGACTTCCTGTTAGAGGAGAGCAGAACTCTGTCATGCTGCATGACACTAAGATCTGCTTGAACTAGACACCTGGCATCTTTTCTTTGCTGCGAGTTCATTAAGACTTGGGCTCAATTTCTGAGCTGCTGAGCAAACATTAAATGTTTATGTTGGTGCACATTGCATATACTGAAGCATATCAGCCAGAGACCAGCCTCAGTGTTTTATACTGGGTGAGTGCCAAATCTTTATTTGTACACTGGTGGAAAAGAACATTTTTGTATTAAAAAAAAGGTAACTGAATGGTGTGCGTGGTAACATTTAGCTGAAATGTGTTGATATGACCTGGAGTGGAGGCTAATATTAGCTAGCTATCAGTACCTATTGTATTAAGTCATTTTGTAGAGAGGCACTGGCTGAATGATGAGTGGCTAACTCCCATTCACAGACACTGACAGGAAAAGACCAATAGTCTTTTCCTGCATCTACCATAGGGGACAGCAGTGATAATAAGGTGGTCAAAAGGGCTACTAAGAGTATCTGAAGAGGCTCTGAAGCAGCTGATACTCCCTGAACAATTTAAAAACAGTGTCCCACAGCAGTTAGAGGTTCACCTAAATGACCATATGACAGTAACTGCTTTAAAAGCTACAGAATTAGCTGATGACTGTGTGCTGGTACATAGGTGGCCATGGTGAGACAAGCCTAAAAGCAGCATCAGGGAGCTTTTCTATAGATGGAAAAAAGTGATACATGATGTATCATGTATGATGGAATAATCTTCATCCTTGATTAAGATTAACATTGTTATTATGCGATCCAGATTACACAGCGAACTATAAACCTTTAAAATGTTTATTTTACACATATCTCTGAAGTAAAACACAAAGAAAAGTATGATAGTGATAGTATAATGTCAATGAGAAAGCTATGATTTGAGCTTAGTGGTCAGGAGCAGTCAATCTTAACTGAAAAAGCAGTTCACACCAAACCTTTGGGCAATTTCTGCAAATTACCCTAAAATAATTCCCTTTGGGAAGAATTTTTACACTGCTTTATTTCTTAATTGAGTCCACAATGTAAATGTAGCTCCACAGCCAGGCATTTAGGCTAAAAATCTGATACAACTATCTGTAAAGGCACTTGCAGTGAACATACATTAGTATTTAGTAACACATCATTGGAAAACTTTACAACCTCAAAGAAAGCTTGCTGTATTACCTCCCTCATACACTGTAGTAGTAAGTCAGGGTTACAGCTCATTGTGTATTAAGCCCCTCTGACATCTGAACATTCTAGAGGGGTGTGGCTAAAACTCAAAACTTATATGGATGGAATAGATGTATGTCTTTAACAATGGCAATAAGTTGTTTTTTTTTTTTCTTCACTGGGATTTTTTCTCTCTATTGGAAGGGCTCTTAATTGCATTTTATTACTTGGAAGAGCATCTTCTTCATGAGTTTTTTCATTAGAAAGGCACCTGTAGGGAACGCCATTATGAGGGCCACTGTATAGCACCACATTACATTTTCTCCACTGGAGGGGCATCCGTAAGGAAACTCCCCACACTTTATCATACATGTAGGGACAACCTTTACAGCTCTGCTTCACATTATATCCACTGGAGGGTCCCTTCTCTATTAGATGAGCACCTAATTAGGCACTTCTTCATGTTTACTCACCTGTAGGAGTGCCCTATACAGGACTGCATCCCATTTTCTCTACTAGAAAGGGCATCCATTAGTTAGCTAGCTCCTTAGCTAGGCCCACAAATAAAGAATGCACATGAATTGTCATTGATCAATGAATGCAACTAATCTTACATTGTAAGTATAAATACACCACAATAAGTCTCATGTAGAACACTCACCCCTTTGAGTGGCTCTTGCAGTATTGAATCTGCAGTAAATCTCCTCATAGACTCTCTCAGTGCCCCTACTTAAGCCTTCATAGACTCCCTCAAGCCCTCTTCTAAGGCCTTCATAGACTATGTTCTCCATCCTCTTAGAGAGCCCTGTGAAGGAAACAAAGAGATACATTAAGCCAGTTCAGTAGAAGAGAAGACTGATGACAGACTGAAGGACTAATTATGTTTAGAGAATGTACAGAAAGTGGATTGTAGATGATCTCTGAATCTCTCTACCTCTCCTGAGCACTCTGTTCTGGTAAAACAGCACAACCAGAAGCACTAAGGCCAGAAAGAGCACCACTCCCAGAACCAGGAGAGACACTGGATAGATGGATGGAACAGCAGAAATTGGAAGAGCTTGTAGAAGAGTGTTTGGTGTCTTCACTGTCTGACCAACTAAAAATAAAAATACAGAACAGAAACTGTGCAGAGCTCTGAACAATCTATTCAGAAACATGTATCAAAATCTGTCTTTATCTGTCTAAGAGACATTAAAAATACCTGTGGTGTTGGAGGTGGTGGCTGTTATAAATGGAGTAGTAGAAATGCCTGTAAATACAGAAACTGCAGTTCTCATTCTGATATGTAGAACACTTTAAGCACTGAATATGGCAAATTAACATTAGATAATATGAACAAAAGTCCATTAATGCACCATTTACTGAAACCTTCCAGATTTTGAAACTGTGATAAAATATTTTTAGAAGGATCATCTGACCTGCACAGGTGACTCCAGCGTCCTGCCTGTGGGAGCAGTCAGTGTGGTTCTTCAGGGAATGAGGACAGTCCCACAGGTGAATCTCATTCCCTCTACACTTCACCCTGTTCAGCCAGATAGGCCCTTCACCAGCACCAAAGACAGCACTCCCATCAGCACTCAGCGCCGACCCACAGCCCAGCTGCCTGCAGACAACCTGAGCATCCATGATGTCCCACAGACCATCACAGACGGACCCCCACTCAGCATTATGATACACCTCCAGCCTCCCAGAGCAGATTCCATTTCCTCCCCTCAGCCTGAGAGGCAGGTGATCTACATCACACATGAGGAGATACAGCAATGCTGATCAACCGTGATAGTTATAGAACTAATAACAATACAGCAATTAAACGTAATATAGGTTTTCACTTTTTATACATTACCAGTAATAATTCTATGAAGGTCCTACTTTTTTAACACTTGTGATTAACACATTATGTAATTAATATTGACCATTTATTTGCAAGAGTTCTTACTTGAGCACTGTCTGTGCTGGGGAAATGAGGAGCATTTCAGACGGCTTCGTAATACACGATCATTTTCATCTTCTATGAATACAGAAAGATACCTCATTAAGCGCTGAACATATGAAGTTGTTTTTCTATATTTCTATATATTACATTATTTATTTTACATTTCTATATGTATATTTTATTAACCCATTTAAGCCAGTTTTATGATTTTATTGTCAGCACAAAAATGTATACACACTCTACTTATATGAACATAAAAACTGCCTACCTGAGCAGGTAATCCAGGCCACCTCGTTGTCTTTATTACAGTTGTTCTGTCTCCAGGGTGAAGATGGACAATGCCACAGAATGGAGTCATGTCTCCTACATTTCAGATCGTCTAGCCAGTTGGGAGTCGATTCCACTCTTGCTTTGGCCCAAGACTCACTGCCAGATCTTCCACAGTTCAGCTCTTGACAGATTAAACTCACTGTTTCTCCATCCATCCCATTTAAGCACACATTACCCCAGGTTCCATTGTAGAACACTTCCAGATTCCCCTCACAGCCCTCAGTGAGTCTGATCTCTTTAAACTCTGGTGGGAAAAGAACTTATACTAAACTTTGCTTTTGAATGAGCATGTTTTAGGAAGTTCATACAATTAAAAATGAAATATTTAACATCCCCTCAAAAAGATAATGAAACTCCACTGCTTGTACAGACATTAACTTCCTTAAAGGTACGGTTCCATGCAAATTCGAATCTACACAGTTTTACCCCAAAGACAGTTAATCAGCCTAGATATATCTGATGTCTACAGATGGCTTTACACTGTGTGATTACAGTGGTCTTATACGTCTACTTCATGTCACACTGCATGAGATGCTGCAAATAACAGCTAATCTCCATGTCAGACTGCGTAAATTCAGTTATGCTGCGCATCAGATTATACCTTAAAAATTTTCTGGTGATTTACAATGCAAGAAAATTATGACATTCTGCATGAACTTTCTATTTTGGCAAAATGTAGAACCACACAAGCAACAGTATCATCATGAGGATTACAGTACAGTGCCTTAAGTTTGCTTCCTAAGCTTTGCACTGGAGTTATGAGACTAATGTAGTCAGGCCCATGCGTAGATAACTTGAGAGTCAATAGAAACAAGCAAAGAACATAATTTCTTTTTTTTTTATTTAAAAAAAACTTGCTTTAGTGCATTTGCGACATTATGTGTAGTTATTTTTAAAAATAAACACGTTTAGGGCTCAGTATAACACAGTGTGGTTCTTTTGTAAAGAGATTCTTAGTGCAAACATGTCTGGGCTGACTGACTACATTTCTATTAAGAGGAAATATTTGTTAATTTGATTTTTCAGTGAACCATTCCTTTAAAATCATCACACCTGAGCAGACGACTCCTACGTCCTCCTTGTGTCTACATTCATCCTCTCCACACAGCTGAAATCTGCAGTTCCACAAGGACGTCTCGTTCCCATTACACTCCACCTCATTCAGCCATATGTGTCCCACATGTCACCACACACTGTCCCCCATGAGCCGCTGTGGAAAACCTCCAGCCGTCCTGCACAGTCTCCCCCAGAACCAACCAGCCTGATGGAGCTGTGAGCTGATTTAAACTTACCTACACACAGACAGACAAACACATACATAAACACGCATTACAGCTGTGTCTCATTCCTTGGACATCTACATAAAGAAGAAAGTTAATCTTTTGACTGTGAAATGAACAATAAATACTGCAATATATTTTTGGGAAGATTATTTTAAGAATATTCTTAGCCTCTTTTGATATTTAGCTGCTGTCTATCTTACCAGAGCAGGTGATGGAGAGCTGTTCTCTGGAGCTGCAGTTGACTGCTTGTGCGCTGCTGCAGTTCCTCAGATGAGCTTCACTCCCAGAACAACTGAAACCTGTCACACACATGTGTCTGTGTTCAGGACTGGATGTAGAGGAGCTGGAGAAGTTGAGCACAGAGCCACAGCCCAGCTGTCTGCAGACCACAGAGGCCTCAGACTCACTCCAGGAGTCCAGCAGAACTCTCCTCCAGTCCTGCCTGAAGTACACCTCCACCTCCCCCTCACACTCCATCCCTCCAGACAACCGCACTCTCCCTTCATGAAATGCCAGAGAGGAACCTGAAGAAGAAAAAATATCACTTAACTAAAAACTGTACACAGGCATTTCTGAGATAGACCACACAATTCTAAGAGCTCACCACTGCAGATGACTCCAGCATCCTGTTTATGAGAGCATGCAGTTCGACTCCATGATGAAATGGGACATTTTGACAGGTGTGTTTCGTTCCCCTGACAATCAAACACATCAGCCCAGATCTGGCCAATCCCCTCCCCAAACCAGTCTGACCCCAACACAGCCACAGCACTCCCACACTTCAGCTGACCACAGAGGACACTGGCAGCTCTCATATCCCAGCTTACATCACACACTGTTCCCCACTCATTGAGGTACTGGAGCTCCACTCGACCAGAACAGGAGTCAGAGCCGTTCGCCAGGCGAGCCCCTGTGTGACCTGAATGAACATGACACTACAGGAATTAACATGAATAAGAGCAGTTCAGTGCCATGTTGTAACAAACAGTGGAGTTGAACTCAATTAAAAATGAACGCTTTACCAGCACACACCAGGCCCACATCACTGTCATGAGTGCAGTTATGTGAAGGTGATGTTGGACAGAAGGAAATCTGAAATTCGTTGCCTCTACACTGAAGCTCCTCTGACCACACCTGACCCTCCCCTCTGCCAAAAGCAGCTGCTCTTAGCACCTTCACAGGAAGCCCACAGCCCAGCTCTCGACACACAACCTCTGCATCCTGCTGGTCAAAGTCAGCATCACACACTGTGGACCAGGTCTTTGCATTAAGCACTTCCACTCTCCCAGAGCACAGATGGAAACCACCAGCAAGTCTGGACTTTGTGACCTGTGGAATTGGAAGGTCATTAACACTGTGCACAGTACAAGAAAAAGTAGCAGCTAGTAGCTGATAGAGGATATTTGACTAAAACATTTAGATGGAATCAGTGATATAGTTGTCCTGATGGTCTAAATAATAAAAACTGACTGATTGATGTAAAAGATTAGTTTTCTTGATGACATTTTATTCATATGAAGCAAGAGGCCTATAAAAACAAGCACACACACTCAGAATGAGTAGCTGGGGTCTTTTCTACATACTGTCAGTTTTCCTGCCTGATTTTCATTCAAAATAACTGGCCAGAGGCTGCAATCAAAAGCAAATGAGCTCTGTGTGTTGAAAGGAGTGTTGGGCAGTGTCCTGCTATTGGTCTGGAGACTAGCCAAGAACTAGTCAAGAAACCAGTCAAGAATCTTTAACTGATTATTTTAAAAATATGCTACTTTGTTATTTCACAACTAATATTTTCATTTCTTTCACATTTTCTACAATTACTCTTATGTTCTCCATCTGAGAGCCAGTAATGTAAAAGATCGAAGTTAATAACACTCAAAATCTTTAGAAAATGAATCTGATATTCTGGTAATGATGATATTAGGCATTTGTTCATTTGTAGTGGTGATGACTGATTGCAGCTCACCTGAGCAGATGACTCCAGCATCTTCACCATGATTACAGTTACGTTTACCCCATCCTGCTGATTTACAGTTCTTCAGTGTAGACTCTGATCCACTACAGTCCACTTCATTCATCCAGATTTGTCCTGATCCTTGTCCAAAGTGAGCTTTATTCAGTGCATCTACAGCATCTCCACAGCCCAGCTCTCTACACACCACTGCAGCATCTCTCACATCCCACTCATCATCACACACTGTTCCCCACTGATCATCATGAAGAACCTCCACTCTCCCAGCACAGCGACTGCCACCATCCACCAACCTCACAATGTCTGTACAACAACATGAGAAAGAGATTCCACAGTCAAAAGTAATTTTAGAGTTTTAGTGCTGCGAGAAATGTTTGGGAAGCACAAATCACAATAACACTTAATTAGAAAATACTATTATTTACATCAATGATAATTTAGAAATCAGAATAACATGTTTAGTTTTACTTGGGCTTGAAATGTTGAAAACAATTGTGATGCACTTCAAGAAAATACATTTTATACTTAAAATACAGCATAAACATTTTAATATTTACTTAAATTAAAGCTTTTAAAGTAATCTGAAAACATTGTGTTACAGTTAATCAGTCACAGAGATGTAATCTTACTGAAGGCTACAAATGTACTACTTACCAGCACACACCAGTCCCACATCACTGTCATGAGTGCAGTTGTGTTTGAGTGAAGGTGATGTTGGACAGAAGTGAATCTGAGATTCGTTGCCTCTACACTGAAGCTCCTCTGACCACACCTGACCCTCCCCTCTGCCAAAAGCAGCTGCTGCCAGCACCTTCACAGGAAGCCCACAGCCCAGCTCTCGACACACAACCTCTGCATCCTGCTGGTCAAAGCCAGCATCACACACTGTGGACCAGGACTCTCCATGAAGCACCTCCACTCTTCCAGAGCAGCGTGAATCACCAAGTAGCTTGACTTCTGATATAATGTTGTTGAAACATAATGATTTTATAAAAATTACAGTTCAGCTTTTTACCAGATACAAAATTATTAATTTCATAACTTGGCCATGAGAGCATGCATGTCTCTGAAGAGAAAAGTACAAATAATCAAGTTTGAAAGATAAAAAAGGCAAAATTATTTATTATTAATGAACTTAATGATTATTTTACCAAAATTAAAAGCTATGAAAAGAAATGTGAATGGCAATTTTTTCTCTCATTTAATAGAAAACTACAATTTAGAAAAACATACCTGAACAAATGACCCCAGCATCACTAGAATGAACACAATCATTTCTACTCCATCCTGGCGATTTACAGTTTTTCACTGTGGCCTCTGATCCATTACAGTCTACATCATCCATCCAGATTGGTCCTGATCCTGGTCCAAAGTGAGCATCACTCAGTGCAGCTACAGCGTCTCCACAGCGCAGCTCTCTACACACCACTGCAGCATCTCTCATATCCCAGTTATCATCACACACTGTTCCCCACTGTCCTCTATGAAGAACCTCCACTCTCCCAGCACAGCGACTGCCACCATCCACCAACCTCACACTGACTGTACAACAGAAGGCAGAACAGAGAGAAGTATTTCTACAGAGAGATACACAGAAGCAGAGAGAAAGAATACCTTAAACTGGATGTGTAGCAAGAAAATGTAAGACTAATCAGTGAAGATACACCTCTTACCAGCACACACCAGTCCCACATCACTGTCATGAGTGCAGTTGTGTTTCAGTGAAGATGATGTTGGACAGAAGTAAATCTGAGATTCATTGCCTCTACACTGAAGCTCCTCTGACCACACCTGACCCTCCCCTCTGCCAAAAGCAGCTGCTCCCAGCACCTCCACAGGAAGCCCACAGCCCAGTTCTCAACACACAACCTCTGCATCCTGCTGGTCAAAGTCAGCATCACACACTGTGGACCAGGTCTCTCCATGAAGCACCTCCACTCTCCCAGAGCAGTGCGAACCACCAACCAGCCTGACTCCTAATATTAAAGAGTTTAGGCCATTTTTGATAAGTGATATAATGTCGCTTAGATAAAATTATTTTGTTAAAAAGTACAAAAGCTTAAATTATTTTTCAAAACATGTATGTCTGTAAAGACAAAAAAGATGCATGACAAATTGTATTGTGATGTTTTAATAAATACCAGTGGGCAAATACAACAAGAAAAGCTAATCTCATTAAATAGATTATCGAAATTCAGATAAGCGTACCTGAACAGACGACTCCAGCATCTTTAGAATGACCACAGTTATGTTTACCCCATCCTGATGATTTACAGTTCTTTAGTGTAGACTCTGATCCACTGCAGCTCATATTATTCATCCAGATTGGTCCTGATCCTGGACCAAAGTGAGCATCACTCGGTGCATCTACAGCCTCTCCACAGCCCAGCTCTCTACACACAACTGCAGCATCTCTCATATCCCAGCCATCATCACACACTGTTCCCCACTGTCCTCTATGAAGAACCTCCACTCTCCCAGCACAGCGACTGCCGCCATCCACCAACCTCACACTGACTGCATAACAGAAGGCAGAAGAGACAGATGTTTATGCACACAGCCAAAACTAGCGATGAGGACACTGAAGTCTGGATGACAGTAGATTATGAAGACAGTTTTTACCCACATATTTCAAGTCTTGCTTTGACCTTTTGACAAGACCTGATTTGACTTTTTGAGATGTACAGGTATGAAATTCTCATATCAGACTACCACAGCGATTATACTAAAGTGAGAGTTTGTGCAACAACAAATTATACATATATGTGAGTGTTTATTATGCCAATTAACATACTGTACTTATAAAAACCAACAGTTATATATATATATATATATATATATATTTTAATTCAGATTACTCCTAACGTTGCTTGCTGTAGCTGCTCAGTTTGGGCAGAAACTATTTTTAATCACTGGCTTTGGTTACACGCTCCATGGTTGGCTTTGTTAGCCATCAAATGATTGTGCTTTTTTTAGTAATCAATGAGATCAAAAAGAAATAGAGAAAAGGAGGGCACGCACACATGAGAGAAAGAGAGAGAGAGAGAGAGAGATTGGGGGAGAGAGAGAGAGAGAGATTGGGAGAGAGAGAGAGAGAGAGAGAGAGAGAGAGAGAGAGAGAGAGAGAGAGAGAGAGAGAGAGAGAGAGACACTTTGACTTTAGACGGTCCTTTATTGAACCAGCACTTTCTTTAAAACAGTCATCCGTCACAAAGTGTCATCTTAGGCTATATTGAAATAAATTAATTGATTAAATAAAAATAAGACAAACACTTTATAAATAGATAAAAACAGGAAAACAAATAAAACTCAGTCTGGCTCATCTGAGCTCAGGAGCGAAGCAGAGCTCACCCTCGCACACTGAGCACACGGCCCCACCACAGCACCACATCGCCTAGAGAGAATCCTTGTGGCCTCGCAGTCAGTACCATGCGCCACCTTGTTCTTACGAGTGATATATATCGCCATTTTTGCCTGCCCAAGAATGAAGTTGATCAGCTGGCATTTGGATTTCTCTCTTTTGACGTATTTAAAACCAAGGATAAAAGTCTGGAGTGTAAAAGTCACATTAAGAGACCTAAAAACATTCTTTAAAACTTCAAACAAAGAGCAAAGCCTAAAACAGTGCATAAAAGCATGAAACACAGTTTCTCTCTGGGGACAAAAAGGACACTGTGGTAAAATCTCAGGATTTAAAACAGAAATAAAAGCGTTGACTGAGACAATACCATGTAAAATCCTCCACTGCAGGTCAGCTACTTTTTTAGTCAATGGTGGTTTATACAGTGCTCTCCACTCTGGCTTCACATCATCACTCAGATTAAAAACATCACGCCATGGTGTGTCGGTTCTACTGTGCAGTCTTTTCTTATTCAGTACCTTCACACAGGCTCTGTACAGCAGCTTACCAGACACTGTCCCCAAGTTCATTCTAGACTCCCCCTCACACTCCAGAAGGGGGCCTTCACAGTCCTGTAGGTCCGGCGTGATAGTGATGTCCGGGAATGGGTCATGCTCTGTAGGACTGACCACCCCTGCACTGTAGTCCCTCACCTGCTCGCGTTCCTCAGGAGAGAGAGCTGTCCTCCAGCCCTCGAGCAGCTGAGCCACAACTCGCAGAGATCTCATCCCCAGCCTCGCAGCCACGTCCTCCACCCGAGTGAGATCTGGTCCGGCGACGTCCACCAGCCGGCGGAGGGTTGTGACTCCCGATGACAACAAGACTCTAGTCAGTGCAGGGGTGATCGTGCCCTCCAAGTCCAGTCGTGTGCCGTTGAAAAGAGGCTCCTCCAACAGCCAGTGCAAAGCGGAGCCAGCCTGTTTATTCACATTAAAAAAGTCCCAGATTTTAAAAAGTCCTCGATAAAAAACAGGCAACCCAGCAATGTGTTTTTGTGCTCATTAAAAACAATGCTCTGTCCAACCCCAGACCACCTACTGTGCGTAATATTGTGCATGATACCGCCCTCCAAACCAGCTCACTGGGACCAGCAAGAAGTCTCTGGATGAACTGGAGTCGGAAGGCAGCGGCCCTGCTAGCCAAGTGGACGAGTCCTTGCCCCCCTTCCTCTTTTGGCAGATGTAGAACTCCCTGCGGAATCCAGTGCAGTCGATCCCAGAAGAAGTCCACTAGCACGGCTTGCAGGTTCGCCAGCAGATTCGGTGGGGGGTCCACGCAGGCCAGTTTATGCCAGAGCGATGATGCAGCGAGGTTGTTGATAACAAGCACCCTTCCCCGATAGGACATCTGGGGGACTAACCATTTCCACTTACTGAGGCGTCCTTTAATCTTTTCAACCATGCCATCCCAGTTCTGTGCACTACAGATACTGTCCCCCAGATACACCCCCAGATATTTAAAACCACCCCTTCTCCACATCAACCCATCTGGAAGCGCGGGTTCCCCACCATCCCAGTCACCAACTAAAACTGCTTCACTTTTGGTCCAGTTTACTTTTGCAGACGATAAAACCCTAAAATCATTTAAAATTCCAGCTAAAACATCCACATCAGTCTGGGTACTTGCTATCACAACAAGGTCGTCTGCATATGCTGAGACACACAGTGGAGTAGAACAGCCAGGTATAAACAAACCGGAGATGCAGTCTCTCAGTTTGCACAACTGAGGTTCAATAGCTAGAGAGTACAGCATGCCAGACAGAGCACAGCCCTGCCTAATACCTCTGTGCACTTTAAAAGGAGCACATAAACCACCATTAACTTTGAGTACACTCTCAATGTCACTGTACAAAACCTTGATCATGGCTATAAAACCTGGGTT